ATTTGAATAGAGACTTTAAAACAGTAAATAACAAGTAACACTAGTGACGAAGTCACTGTCATAAAGCATTCATCTAGATATATATTAATGTTTTTTTTGGATCTGCTGCATATTACACGGAATTTCCGAAATTATGTAAAGAACATAGTAAACATAATATTTTCAAACCACCGTTTTCAAAGATATGTATACCAAATTTCCATAAAAAGATAGTATATACATTATATTTTAGAGCTATAGAAAGATTTAATGGATGTAAAAATACCAGTGATGTGAAAAAACTCATTTGAAATACAGAAAATTTCTTTCTTTATCGTAATACTTCTATTTATTGCAACTTCCGAAAAAATTGTATGAAATAAAGATTCTTTCTTCATATCGCTGCTCCAGAAATGTCACCTAATTAAAAACCTCTAATAATTTTATAAATGTAACGATTTTCCAGAAGCCTTAGTGATTGAAAGTTCGTAAAACTAATAAAACGCCAATAAAACGTGTTGTTTTCAAACCACTACTACTCCTCCGTTTTCAAAGAAATAAACACCAAATTTCCATGAAAGATATTATATACATTATATTTTAGAGCCATGGAAAGCTTTAATGGATGTAAAAATATCAATTGCGTAAAAAAACTCATTCGAATTACTCAAATTATTTGATTTATTCAAATTATTATTTTATGATTCAAGATTATAATATCATTTTAGTATAAAGATTTAACCAATAACTTAATTACAATATAAAGGAGCTATTGGTTTGTTAAATTAAGCCAATATTTAACTAAAAAATGGGTCTGATTCATTTCGTCGAAAATTATTTCGTCACAAAAAAAAACTTCATTAAACAAATTTCTCCTCACACTTCCCACACACCCCGCTTTCCTCACCTAATTTCTTAACCAACTTCCCACACTCCTCACATCTAACTCGTTCGGTCTCTGGCTCGAGGATGAAATAATTTTTGACGAAGTAAACGCGACCGCATATATGTATATCTCATTATTATAATATATTCTTTTGTATTAAGATCTTGTTAAATTTTAACAATATTATTATAATATAAATTCATGAGTTGGGTGTGATTTTGAATTTTTATAAAATTAATAAAAAATTATTATATTATTTAAAAGTCATTAATTTGTCAATTAATTATATTAAATTATTCACCTCTTTTAAAAATTCCTCGGAAATATTTTGTGAGTTTTTAACCTTTTTTAATGCTACACTACCATCTTTATAATGATATCTTCTATACTTATAAACATATATAGTACCAATTGACCAAGAACATATATATACAGTTGCAAAACCACCTTTACCTATTTCATTGTAAACTCCAAGTCGGTCATAAGGAATCCATTCAAAATAATAACTATCAAATCCTTTTGCTTCAAGCCGTATATTCATCTAATTTTTCATTACCACTGCTAGTCCAACTCTGGAGCTAACAAATTGGAATCACATGATTGACACCACTGGTAATTAGTATTATGACTTGCACAAACAGAACAGATTCCATAATAATCAAATAAAAAAACGGATGATCAATTTTAATAAAATTTATGTTAATTTTACATGAAAAAATTGTTCTCTCATAAGCTAACTATAATATTTTAAGAACAAAGGGTGCCGAAAATTGTTTAAAAATGTAGTTTTGGACTTAAAGTATACTTTAAACCTATTTCTCCCAAATACTCATGCCTCTGTGGAGTATGATCTTGTTAAATATTAATATTAATGTATATTAATGTCACAAAAAAATGTGCAAATGTAATCAAATATAGAACAGATGATCAATTTCGATAAAATTTATATTTGTTTTTGCATGAAAAATTTGTTCTTCCATAAGCTAACTATATCATTTAGAGAACAAAAGGTATCAAAAGTTATTTAAAAATGCAGTTTTAGTTTTAGAGTATACTTTAAACCTATTTCTTCCAAATACTCATGCTTCTATAGAGTATGATCTTGTTTGAACGCTACATAACAACAGCAATAGACAAGATCTTTTCTATTTTAAGAAAATGTATATTTTCATTTTCTATTTTCCTCCATCCCTCCATACATAATTCTGAGACAAATTTTTTTATATTTAATTCAAACATTAGCATTATTAGCATTAGTATTCGACACTAATAGTGTTGGCAGTATTCATTAGATCATTATTAGATAACGTAATAGCAATTTAAATATGTCTAAAATTTTATTTAATCTCTATTGTACAATACTTGAAACTGGTGTTTTTTATATTAATATTGATATTCTCACAAATTTTATAATTCTTTTTTTTTGGTTTGTTAGTTTATACATTGATATAACAATGAGTTACTATGATATATTAAATAAGCAAAATTTAACATTGCCAGAGTTTGATACATTTGAATCTGTTCCATCTACACCTTTAATGATTGAAGATGATTTAGAAGAGTCAGATGACAGTGAGGGTGAATTTTGTGAAATAGATAATGATAATGTTTATTTTAACAAAAATAACAAAGACAAGTTTTTAAATTCATTTGAATTGGCAAGAGATGTGGAAAATTTGGAAAAAATTGCAGATGATGAAAGTATATATGATGAAGATGATGATTGTGAATTGAAGGAGAAGAAGAAGAAAATAACAAAAATTCTGAAGGTAATATTAGTGATGATGAATTTGAAATCATGATTGATAAAACAACTGACAGTCATAATTAACAGTTTATTTATGTCAGACTCATTGAAATTGTTATTGAATGCTAAATCAGATAAAAAATCACAATCTAATAATGATTTGAATACATATCCAGATATATCTAAAAATTCCAAAGAGAGTGAATTATGACCAAATATCTGCCATTTATTGTTTGAAATCATTAAAGACCTTGGAGGTACAATTGCATAAATAGGTATTGGTAAGTGAAATTGAAAAAGCATCTGTAGTGTGGCATGAATGGTATTCCTAGGAACATCAAAAATGTTTCCATATTTGTACGTCTTTTGAAAAAAATCAATATTATCAATTATACCAAGGTTTCAAGTTTTTGGACTATTTGAAAGATCATGTTTGGAAACTGTTTGGTGCATTATTTTGATTTCAAGAGTCCTTCATATTTTTGGGTATGAGGAATAACATATACAACTCTAAGGATTGCATGCAGAGAAGATAGAAGTTTTGGATGCCTACAAAGACCTGCTAATATATTATTAAACCAAAAATTCACCTTTCTAAATGTAATTGTCATAATTATTGATGACAGAAATGGGACTATCTTTATCAACTTCATTTGGTCTAATTCTTTGTATTTAAAACTTTCAATTCCAGATTTTAATGAACATTTTCTTTTGCCTTTGTGAGTTGTTATGGTGTTGTTGTAAAATGAATCCAATCATACCATTAAAGAATTCCTTAATGGTATCTGGGAAGGCCTTGTGATATTCGATTAGGGAACTGGGATTAGTTAAACATTGTTCATTTTTTTTAACCAATTCTCTAGAATGATGTAATGATTTCCCCAGACTTTGACCGAATTGAAATCATTCACCAGGGTTGACAGGATTTTTTTTCTGTTTTAAAATTAATTTATCAGCTTTACCAAGTTTTAACAAAGCTTTGATGATCAGAGGATTCAATAAATTTAGAGTGTGGTTATTCAAAAAAAATAAATCATTGTTTTTGTTTGAATAAGCGTTTAAAACAGATACAAGTTTTGATAAAACATTCTCTTTTAATGCATGGTTATCTGATAAATAAATATCCATAATCCAAGTTGCCAAACTTTGTAATGATTTTGTAATATCATTGCTTGATTACATTTTTTATTTGGGCCTTTTCCTGTAGGTATATGAACATGACCTCCATTCTTTTCAAAGCATGAAAGACATATATAATGTGGATGATAGGTAATGTGATCCTCAGGTAATTTTTCAAATACTGGCGAAATATTATTATTCATCACTGAGAATGTATGCTGAGTTATGCATGGTACAATCAAATCTTTTCCAAGTAAATTCCATGTATGTACTGTGCAACTTTTTCCACATGATAATACATAAAAATTGTGGCCACAAAATAAG